AATGAGAGCACGACGAGCAGAAACGACTAAACTCACCGAAACTAAACGAATAAATTAATAACATTTCCGAAATATATATAATCTTTACGATAATTTATGAAATATTATATATACACTCTATATACCAGAAATTTAGAATTTAGATTAATTTATAACAAATTTCGCAATAAATTTTACCATACGTCTTTTAGTAATATAAACTCGAGCTCTACTCTAAATATTCTAACAAACTCAATAGGATTCTATATACCTGCCTGCAAGTTTTATAAATAGTTATAATTTTCTCAAATAAATATAATATGCCTACTTGCTACATATATTAAAAACAATCTAATAAATTTTCTCACCGGGTTAAATATATGCGATAATGACAAACGAGCGAAATTGGAGAGTCGGAGGGAAGATTCAAGATAACAAGTGACAGAAGTTCCGCAATCTATCGGTTTGCTTAAAACACGAGTTTGCGTTTTAGAAATGATCTTACCAGTTGCGGATTTATCTCGCTTGTATCCCGTCCGCCGCGATAAAATTGAACTCTCACTCAACATAAAGGGAGACAGAAACAAGAAGAAAAAGNAGAGAGAGAGAGAGAGAGAGAGAGAGAGAGAGAGAGAGAAAGAGAGAGAGAGAGAGAGAGAGAGTACGGCAGGGTAACTATTTCCCGCCGACCGGAAAAATTCGTGGGTTGAATCGAAAATATTTGGCAGTGAAACGGTGAGCAGTTCGAAAATTTTAACTCACTCCGTCCTTCCTCTCCAACATCCATCAGCCGTCATTAAAGCAAAGTTCATAGCGCAACTCGTCTAGCCTGAAAGGGATGAAACGCCGGCGCATCTTCGCAGACCAGCCTGCGAAGAGCAGCCTTCTGAGTGACTTCGGTGTTGCTGGTCGACGTGACTCTGTGACTTACGACCGTACGATACCGATGTGTGTCGTGAGTGCGCGCCGTGAGTGTGCACCGGGTCGACGGATATTCGCTGACACGGCCGCGTTTACGATCTTCTCGGAATATTCGCTTTCTCGTCGCCATCCGTTCGCGCGTCTCCACCATCTGCCCCATTCTCGTTTTTGATGTCCCCAGTGAGCCACACGCGCACGGCTGCGCCCGTTTAAAAATATGGAACCAGTGTGACCAGAATGGTTGCTATGGAAGAGCTCCGGTTTACCGGACGGTCCGAATCCGGCCCGGGGCGGGCCCTGACGAAGTGACATCCCGCGTCATCATCAACAATCGTGCCTCGAGCCCGCGCTCGGAGACCGTTTCGAGATCGCCTCGCTATCATCGGGTGTTACAACGAGAACATACATGAAACCGCGTTCGATCTGGAGAAGGAACAGTCCGCTTCTTCCGACGGAAAGGAGTTTCCGGGCCGCAAAATACCGCCCCGGGTGGGAGACCGACGCGTTCTCTTGTTTACACGCGGCATATATCTCATTACACAAAAATAATAATTAATTAATTAATCAATTGATTCATTATAATAAATCTTAAAAAGGATAAAAAAAATAGAATCCAAGATCGAGACGAGCGGACTCGTAGCCCCTTGCCCGAGAAGCAGCAAAAGTCTCGACCGTTTCTCTCGGCCGTCAGTTTCGCTCGTCGTAATCGTCTCTCACTGTCCTCGTCCTCTCACCATCATCAACATCATCATCAGAACATCGCCAACATCATCGTTATCATCGTCACGGTGTACACCCGCGCTTTCTCTCCCCATTCTCCTCTCGCTCTTCGTCCTTTCCGCGTATGCCGGGCGCCGGTCAGGCGCGAAAGAGGCGTTCCTCCTCTTCGCTACTCTTCGTCTTCCACAGGAATGAATGCCTCTCGCGCGCGCGATCGGAAACGACGCCGACGACGAGCATACCGACACGTCCGCTCTCCCTTCCGCCGCCCTTACACGAGCTCCTGCTTGTAAAGCTGCTCCTTGTGCATCCGCTCCATATGCCGCGCGATGTGCATCTTCTGTTTCGCCCTGTAAACGCAGTGGGGACACTTGAACTGAGGCTCCTTGCCGCACTCCCACTTCTGATGATTCCTCAGGCTGCTCTTCAACTTGTAGACCCTGCCGCAGGCGGGACAGTTAAAGCCCTCTGGCGTAGAAAAAGAGCCGGAGCCTAGCCGCTTGCCCATGCTCAGGCCAGATCGCCACATGATCGATGGCACGCTCCACCGCTGCCAGGCCGCCGCCCATTTGAGACCGGTGGTCATGCTCAGGTCCTCGGCTGGAACACAAAATCCCCGGCTTTATTAGTATGTGTCCTGCACGAACCGATGATCGGGGATAAGGGGGGGGGGGGATATTTATTACGTTTCCAAGCGCATTCGAGCGAGGAAACACAGACTGATGACTGTTTCTCCCGCTCTGTCGGCTTAAGAATTTCGATTAGCTTAGCGGTTAAGGATAGTGTGACCCGGGACCCAGAGGGGCTTGAGGTGCCGCTTAGACGCGGTACTCTGACCTCGACCTCGTGCGCTCCGTCTGCCCGTCTCTTTCTCATCATCGTTTCCTGCTCTCTTTCGGATATGCACACTCTCGCTTGTGCATCTTTAGTTTAAAGATTTCGGGTGGAGGAGGGCGAGGTATCGAAACCAAAGTTGTCTCGAGGTCGTCGTGGAAGGTACCTTCTTCTGGATGTATCCTGGAAAGAAATCTATTTCGAAGAGAAACCACGCTCCGAGGACCGCCGAGGATCGGATGAGCGGCTCGTGGCGCCTCGAGCGCGAGTGGCTTCAACGCGACGATCGACGCGTCAATCATTCGTCAAGGATAGAGGAAAGAATGCGTGTCCTTCGTGTCCCTACTTTCGAGCCCCAAGCAGCTAGTTGTGAGTTTCACATACGAGGAAGGAGCGGTAAATTGCGTGTTACAGAAGGAACAGTCACGGCGCCGCGTCGACATTCGTTCTGACAATTTGTCACGAGTGCGCTTTTCGCGTCGTATCTCCGAGCAATTTCGCCGGGCAGGTGAGTGTTCCTTCCGATGCGCAAGCGATGAAAGTTCGATATATGTAAGTGGCATTTCTATGTACAAGTTTCGAAAAAGGTTAGTGCGCATGCTGCTCCCCTGATGTCGCCAGGTGGAGAAGGCAGGAAAAAGAAGTAATAAATGCGAAGGGTACTTAATTGCTCAGATAGCTGTCGCAATAATGCTTAAACCAGCTGAAGACTTTTTGCGATAAGGTCAATTATTTACAGAGGATGTTTCTAACGTGGCGTTTTATGCTATCAAACTGACGATGTAGCAATGATTTTATTCTACATCGTCGCGGCTACGAGTGATGTAACGATACATTACGCTCTCTCACATGACTGTCTGGTTTCAACGATTTGTATACTCAATTTTACTTTCATTTTATTGAAAAAAAAACAAAATGAATAGAATAGCCATTGGTGAAAATTATTGCCTATTTTTTTTTAATGTATATATATATATTTAAAAAAATATATATATACATTAAAACATAAATTATATATATATATTGTGTGTGTGTGTGTGTGTGTGTGTGTGTGTGTGTGTGTGTGTGTGTGTGTGTGTGTGTGTGTGTGTGTGTGTGTGTGTGTGTTCACATGTGTGTGTATATATATATACGAGGGCAGTCCGATAAGTACTTAGCCTACAAAAGAAAAACGAAAATTTTGGAAAAGTGGCGATTTATTTCTCAACATAGTCTCCTTTTAGCTCGATACACTTGACCCAGCGATGCTCCAACTTCTTTAACCCATCTGAAAAATACTTTTTCTCGAAGTCTGCAAAGTAGGCCTCCGTGGCGGCGATGACCTCCTCATTCGACTCAAATTTCTGCCCGGTGAGTGAAATTGGTCGAATTAGACTACGAACTGCTGCCCCATCCACCGTATTCTCCAGATTTGGCCCCGTGCGACTTTTTTTTGTTTCCAAACTTGAAAGGTCACTCGCCGGGCAGAAATTTGAGTCGAATGTGGAGGTCATCGCCGCCACGGAGGCCTACTTTGCAGACTTCGAGAAAACGTATTTTTCAGATGGGTTAAAGAAGTTGGAGCATCGCTGAGTCAAGTGTATCGAGCTAAAAGGAGACTATGTTGAGAAATAAATCGCCACTTTTCCAAAATTTTCGTTTTTCTTTTGTAGGCTAAGTACTTATCGGACTGCCCTCGTACATATATATATGTGTGCAAATATTTTTCTAGCGCCAATTAAATTGGAATATAAACGTTCAAGATATCCAACTTACTTCGTAAGGTACGACTGAAAGCTGCGGGAATAAACTATGAATCAAAATTCTGTCGGGACGCGTCTATCAATTTCTATTTCAATGTAATCAGTCTTAACATTGTTTGCTCACATACATTTTATAATTTTAAACATGTAAAAAAATAATAGTTGCGTCACTTATAAGCTAATACTTTAAAACTAATCTTCCCTTTGTAAAAATTTCATCTCTCTCTAATCTCTTTTATTGTCAGCTCATCTTATTTTCCATACATTTTTTTTTCTCCTTTTTTTCCTTTCCTTTCTTTATCAGAAAGTACGGGATTTTTCTTCTCAGCGCGAAGGATCGTTGTCGAAAGCTATATTTAATAATTTTTCCAATTAATTACTTTAAGATAAGGCACATGATCACATAAAGACTTAAATTATAAAAGAATTCACCTGATCGATTGTACTAATCGAAAAGCAAATTGTCTTACGTACTAGGAAACAAAACATAGAAACTAATCAAGAATGTGAGTTGTCCGCCAATAATAAATAAAATCAGTCAGACATATATCTTCGGCTGTAAAATCGAAATATATCTAGTGGAACTTAGAACTTGCATGCATTAAAACGTGTTTACCTAATTACCTCATTCAAGTATTATAAT